TTCGCGCTCTTAAAGTCTCTTTTTTTTTGCATTTTTCTTCTTAACTTCCGCCATTACTGTGTTCTTCGATCTCTTGGTCTGTATTCGTAAGAGGAAGAAGAGCCCTTGATTCCCAGTTCTGTGATCGCTTACCACTTCTCGTTACGTCAACGTGAGTGATTTTCTTGTTTTCTCTTAGGGTTTTCTCTGGTTTCTTTTGCGACTCTCATTCTCTGTTTCTTTCTTGTAGTGGAAGAAAGCTTGGTGTTGAAGAAAGTGTGTTACAAATGGAAGAGGATAAGTTAGCAGTTGCGAAGTCGAAGAAAGATCTTCTTCTTGAATCACTGGACAAGGCAACCACTCAAGCTTCCGATGTATTCTCCTTCATGCAATCATTCAAAGATCTACAAAGTCATTATGAAACGATCGAATCGGATCTTGAGAAGAGGAAACATGAATTAGACACAAAGGAGAAGCTTCTTGATGAGAAGTCACATGAGTTAGAGTCGAAGGAGAAAAGGGCTCGAGAGATTGAATCAGCTGATGTGTTTCAAAAGGAAGTTGAAGAAATGCAGAAGAAACTAAGATCGCTACGAAGAGATGTGGAATCTGAGGAGAAGAAACTGTTGCAGATTCGGAAATCGATCCAAGAACGTAAGATTGAACTAAAGCAGAAGAAAGAGGAAGTGGCGCGTTGCAGAAGAACAAGGAAGCTGAAAATCCAAAAGAGAAGAGCAACAAGGAGATGATCATCTCGGAGAAGAAACTACAGTTTCAACAAAGAAAGTACTCGGAGACTTTGAAGAAGAATCAGTTGGAAGAGAAGAAACTAAGAGAGTATACTGCAAATCTTGAAAAGGTAGAACTCGAGCTTCGATACGCAAATACATCGTTGAAAAAGCGTCGTGTGGAACTTGATAGGGAAGTGAGCAAGACTAATTCGGAAAAGGGCAAGTTGGATCCGTTGCGTGAACGCATCAAGGAAGCAGAGAGGAAGCTGCGAAGCTTGAACAGAGATATAGAGGAAAAACAGAAAGTGGTTGCTTCGAGTGAGAAGAGACTCAGAGAATGCAGGAACGACAAGGGAAGAGGAAACAGAGATAACGATGGAGGTGAAGGAAGCTCAAAGAGAGCAAAAATGTAACTCAGAGAATGCAGGAACAAGAAGGGAAGACGAAACAGAGTATCAATGGAGATAATGGAAGCTCAAAGAGAGCAAAAATGTAACAGTAGGAGGAAAAAACTAGCTCACATTCAAATATAGTACTTAGTTCTAGTAAATATTACATAGGGAAACAGAGAAATTGTTGTGTTCACAAACTAAAGTTGATGAAAAAGGAAAGAATTTTACATATTTGACAAATACAAAAAAAGGACTTTTCTCAAAACTCAAACTTAAATCAGGTTCCTTGGTTGAGTTTGTCAGAAGACAAGAGTGTCTTTGCAAACCAAATTGCAGTGTCCCTAGCTGAAACACCGTCTTCTCCAAATGGTGTAAGCAAACCAGCAAGTTCTTCATATTTCTCTTGCTTTACAAGCCCTGCACATTTCTCTAGTAAACACTCCAATGCATCTGCTCTTTCTTTACTCTGCGGTGGACCCAGTTTGGTTAGCTTACTCAGTACCGACGACATTTCACTCGCTGTTAGCCTCACCGTCTTTGCTTCATCGACCTTGATGCTTTCAGACAAACAGTCTTTTGCTGCTGCTGCGACTTCAGTAGATGAATTGGCAGTGCTAGAAATGGATAGCTTTCTCTGATCCTTTGGTTCAGGAAATGCCTCCTGAGTTTCACCTTCTTCAATAGCACTTTTTGGAGGGCAACATATTACTTCTTGTGCACTCACAACTCCGACATCAACATCACGTAACTGAGATTCCTCGGTGAACATATTTTCCATTCCTTTTGGCAGGTTATTTTCTTCGGTTTGCTTTTCTGCAGTGTAGATTGCACTCTCAGGATCTGACTTATCACTAGTAGACTCGGAAACCTTCAGTGTGTCGTAGCTTGGATCGATTCTTTTTGTTTCAAGTTTGTCCTCTGCACCATTTGTGGATGATGCTGGTTGCGATGAGCTGCTAGATCCAGTCTCTGCATTTGTCCATAACGGATATAGGTTTTCCAAACTACGGGACACCTCGCTCTTCTCTCTCGAATCTCTCTCCTTCGTAAATCTGCCTGGCAGTGAATTTCTTCTTGTCTTATCCTTTGGGCTTGGGAAAACGGGAAGATAAGTAGGCGACAGGTTTTGGCATTGAAGGAGGTACGGTTGTAGACATGGGTTCCTCAACAATTCACAGGCCTGAGGGAATAATTATTCCAATAGTATTAATACAACAGTCAGTACTGTATAGCCAACAATGATATATATGTTGATTAACTTACTGCTGGTCGATGTTCGGGGTTCTTCCTAAGCATAAGCTTTATCATTTGTTTCCTGCAACATGAAAAAGTTGTGACTCGTTTCATGCTTTTTGTGGTATTCGATTGAGGAGAATCATGTCACTCGAAAGAAGAAGAAACTTACAAGGTAGACGAGTAGACAATCGGAAGAGGAGACATAAGTGATCTGTTTATTTTGTTGATAAGACCAGCCTTATCCTGTGAGTTTTCTTCACAACTTAGTTTCATAAAGTCACATTGGAAACATTTAAAAAAAAGAGAGATATAAAAGCTAAGACAGAGACCCACCGGAGCTTTAAAAGCAGGCTGGTGTGATGTAATTTCATACATACAGCAACCTGAACAAAGCAGCATAAATGTTATTCCTTTCAGTAACAACTTGAAGTCTACATATTAGGATTTATATTTAACTTACCAAGCGACCATATGTCAGATTTATATCCATATGGCTGGTCTTCTAATACCTCGGGGCACATGCTGTTAGAAATACCCGAAACCTATTTAAGAAAAAATACTATGAATGAGATTTTCTGGAAAGAAATATTTGGTATTTGACACACTCAATATGCAAATCGGTCCAAAAGGATAATATAGAGAGAATACAAAAAGGTGTTAGACAACACACCAAGGAAGCAGGCTTTTCTGGATTGATAAGTTTCGCCAAACCATAGTTACCTTTGTCATGGGTAGTAAGTTAAAGCTAATTAGAGTAGAGAAAGACAGATATGTAAAGTTTTGAGTGGAAGAGTAAAATCATTCTTCTCATTTATCATTACCAAGCTGGATGTGATCATCTTTTGGAAGAAAAATATTTGAGCACTGCAAAGACACGCGATAATCAGAGCACCATTCTTCACAAAATAACAGATGAAAGAATCACACATCAGCAAAAGTAATGTAGTGTGATTAAAGTATATACCGTTAGATCCATGTGAAGTACGCGGTTTGAATGCAAATAGTTAACAGCCAGTAACAATTGTGCCAACCATTTAAAGATTTTCTGCAGAATCAAATGCAAATTTGTTATGATCAGCAAGACAGTAACAATGTGGAGAAAACAAGCGTAAGAGAAACAAAAGGATAAAGTAAACTGAAATGGAGAGATTACCTCTTCTGGAAATAACTTTCCTCTGGCTTTCTTAATAGCAGTAGCCCTGATACGGGTAAAAAAACGTTCTGATTTAGTAGTCACGACTCATTCATATTGTGGATTTCGCTTTAGGCTCAAGCCAATAGAGGAAGACTAAAACTCATAAATACAGAGTCCAAGGAATAACTCACATGTTTCCTCCCTCACAGTAAGCAGTAAAAATGCAGGCGTTATTGTCCTGCAGAAAAGAAAAAACAAAATCAGTGAAAACTGATGAAAATCATTATAACTCTGTCATGACAAATGAACATTGATGTCCAACTCATATACCTTGTCAATCCAAGAATCTTCATACTGCACGATATAAGGATTCTTTAAATTTGAGAGCAATTTCATCTGCAACACATAGAAGATGATGATGATTTTAGATGAGACTAAGGGAAAAACAATAAATCAATTTGGTGGTTGAACAAACCCAAAACACTGAATGCAATTAAGTGAAGTGTGTTGACATAACATTCGAATTTGTAAGATCATAATTAATAACAGCTCTGCTCATCTGAAGTTATCAGGTTAATACATTGCTCGAGTAATGCGAGAGACGAACATTAAAAACAAATGGATACCACATGTTTGTGTAAAAGCATGTGAGACGGGAAATCTATACGGAAACTACACCTTTAAATATCTTCCCAATTAAAAACCACAGTTAACAAATAACCATTGATGATACAAAGATCAACTACAAGTCGCATAATTACCTCTTGGCAAGCGATTTGCTTTAACTTCTCTGTGTGTTTAGCCAGGCAAATCTTCTTCATTGCATACCTAATTAATACAAGAACCTTAAAGACATGAAAGATAGCTAGAGACCAACAGTTCTTGATCAAACACAATGCAAAAAAGGTAATTTTTGTTTTTTCGTAGATAGAAATTAATTTACACAACCAAACTCGTTACAGACAAAAACCCAAAACCTTTGTCCGTACTTTTGAGAAAGACAACACAGATAGACTAATTTCTTCTTTGATTATTACTCGATTAGAAGCATTGAACACTCTTTGCCCTAATATACCAAGTCAAAATTAAATGAATCAAAGGATAATCAACCTGAATTAAGTAGCAAAATTTCGTAAGGTTTGGCATTAAAAAGTAACACTTTTGGGCTTAAATCACACAAAAATCCACAGAGTGTTAAGCAAACAAAGTTAGGGGGGAAAAGAGAGCAAATAAGCTTACCTTTTGTCTTCAATTTCATGAAGAACCACGAAATCCGAAGAAGACTTGCCTTTTCTAACCTGCTCCACGATATGATAGTTGTCGAGAGTGAACCTATGTTCTTCTTCACAGTCATTAGCCTCCATTTGCATGAAATCTTCAAAAAGAAAAACCCTCCCGAAGAAATAAAACTAGAGAAAACCCAAATTTGAGCTTCAAGAGGAGGTGAGGAAAAATTGTAAAAAAACAACAAAATCCAGTAAAGTCTTCGACTTTTTTCAGGAAGAGAAGAGAATCACAATACGAACACGTAAGTCAGTTGGAAACGAAGCTGTTCCAAGTACGGTCGATTGAAGCAGACGACGGAGAGCTGTTGAAATCGCTCAACTTTCTCTGAAGACTCAAAATGTCATTGGACATTTTTATTTCTTCGTCAAAGGTGATTTAGGTGTATCTGTTATACTTTTTATTTTTAAAAATATTATTTGTTGGCAAATGAAATGAGTGTATATACAGTATTACGCTTTTTTCTGATTCTTTTGTTAGTGTCGGCAATCGAATTGAAAAATGTTAAAATGTTGAAAACGCTCACACTTGCAACAACATACCAATTTAAAAGCACGAAAAGGAAAAAAAAAAAACCAAATTAAAAGCACTCATTTTTTTTCTTTTCCCGTGAGCTAAATTCTTTTTGAAGAAAAATGTTTCAAATAAACATAATAGAAGTTTGATTCTATTTTAACTGCAGTGAATTAAATTCTATTTACATCTATGTTCAATGCTGTTTATTTTTAAATCATATCGTAATAGTAGTATTTTAGTGCTTTTAATAAATAAGCATTTGCGTTTTTTGCATACCATAATTTTTTTAAAAATATTTTAGTGCTCTAAATAAAAAAAAAACATTTGCGTTTTTGCATACAATACAAAAATTAAATATTTAATTGAAAATTTTGTATAGAATTTAATTAAATATTTAATGTTCACGAGTGATGAGTGCTATTCCATGAGAAAAAAATGGAATCGACATCAGTATCTTGTTGTCTGCCACGTGGCTATCCACATCGAATTACATTTTGTAAATTGAGAGAGATGAAAAAAATTGAACAAAAAACCCGTTTGTCCGATCGGTTATTCCGTCTTCCCTCAACTTTTGGCGGTGGCGAATGGATCTCGACTTCAAGTGTTCCGATTTGGAAGCTTGGAACGAGGCTTTATCTTCATACGAATCTCGAATCGAGTCTCTGAACAAACCAGACCTTGTCTCTCTCGACCAATTTTACCGCGTTAAACTCCCTTCTCTTCTTCACGACCGTGACCCTAACCCTTACCTCACCACCTCCGAACTTTCCCAACTCATGAAATGGAAGCTCTCCCGCGGCAAATGGCGGTACTATCCCTCTCCCTCTCTCTAATAGATTCTTGTCTGATTTCTCGATTTAAACGGTTGTTCTGTCTATAACCGTTGTCTGAAGGCCGCGTTTACTGGATTTCGTGTCGTCTCTGGAAGATTCAGTGGTGAAATCTGCTTCTGAAAAGGCTTTTAAATCTCTCCCTGACATCTCCAAGGCTGTGAAAGAGCTCACTGTTCTTAAAGGCGTTGGTCCGGCCACTGCTTCCGCCGTTCTGGCTGCTTATGCCCCTGACATTGCTCCGTTCATGTCCGACGAGGTAAATAAATCTCTATCCAATTTTTAATGTTTCAATTTTCTTTCTGATTTCTCTGTTTTGATTTGTTGAACTCTTTAATCTAATGTGGAAAGGAAGGCAATGGAAGTGGCTCTTGGGAACTCAATGGATTACTCTTTGAAGCAATACTTGTTATTTGTGTCTAAACTACAAGAAAAATCAAAGGTTAGTTCTCTTTAGAGACAAGTGTTTTTGTGTGTTTCCACTTGTGTCATAATTAGGATTTTACACTAGTGAAACATGAAGAAAATGTACTGATTTCGTCACTGCATACACTTTAAGTCTTTTTTAGCTTTCAAGTCTTTGAAAATGTTAAGAGGCATAGATTAAAAGTTGGACTCGAGATTGACTTAAATCAAACTGTGGATTATGTAGGAATTAAAGTTGAAGGGAGAGTGGGATGGGCCTTCAGACATTGAAAGAGCTCTATGGAGTTGTACTGTGCGTTCCACAAAGTCGCAGCCAGAGAAGAGCTCTTCGGGGAAGAAAAGAAAACGGTAGGAGTCACAAATAGGCAAGTTCTCTTTGATTTCTTTTGTAAGATTTGTGTAGATTATTTATCTGCTCTTGTATAATTAAGACTATATTATGGATAATTTGCATTTTATCCATAAAATTAAGATCAACCGCAGATGTTTGCCAGTTCTTCCGGAATTCATATCCGCAATTGTTGAACTTCAGTAAGTGTTTGGTATGCTTCGTATTTCTATTTTATATACGAAGCAATCATCAAAAATTCAAAACAAAACAATTGAAATGTTCAATGACCGATTCCATAGGAAGTGAGGATAAATGGAGAGTTCTTGACTCGGTATTTTATTGCCTCATGCAAAATGCATGCATCTTAATTCATTAAGCAACTTGAACGTGACTGACCAAACACTTTCAGATTAATGCATGCATTTTCTGATAGTAGATAATCGAACCAAACACTTTCACCTTCAACATTTTCATAACATCACTCCAAGATTTTGAGGTTTCTTTGTTTAGAGAGGTTGGCCACTAATCCATCTCTTGAACATGATTGAATTCTCTTCTGGTGTATAATCTAACGTGTGCCCATCTCCCTATAAACCAAACACACACAAAACTATTTAACAATATCATGTAAGAAAGCAGTTTAATTTGTATTTATGTCAATGAAAATGTAATAATTAAGACTTGCTTTTACAGTGGCAAATGTCATCTTATTGGCATACGTCTGGGTGTATCTGCAAATAAAAAGTGTGTGTCGGATGAGCTCATATAGGAGAAACCAAGATTGATCTTAAAACAGTGTGTCGATTGGAATTTACCCGGCGACTTTATCGAGTATCATCCATGGTCTCCATTTATCAGTAATGGAATAGTTGAGAGATTTTATCCATGCTCGAGTTGAAACAAAAGGGATTTTCATATCGTGATCACCGCTGTTTAAGAACATTTTATAAACAATATTAATTTTGTAGCACAAGCTTGTAAAGAAGTTGTTAAATTTGTGTATCTAAAGATGAGAGATCTATAGCCTTCAATGGTGTTATTCTTATGGTATGGTATGGTGCTTTTAATGTCTTGGTTACACTTGACATTAACATTACATCGTTCCCATTTCCCTTTCGTCCCCTACAATCAAAATCCTCTTTTGAGTTTGATCATCAGATTTTACCATGACCTTAATTATGATGATAAACTTGTCATATACCTTCACTACTTCAAGTGCTCTGCGTACGCTCTCGTTATTAGCCCAATATTCGGATAACATAAACCGATACCTCTGCAAAATACAACCTTGTCAATATTCTTCTCTAGTGGTTAGTTAAGTGGCTAGCCATTGATATAAAGATCATATAAGAAAAAATGGGTATTGCTTACATAACAATCAGGAGATGTAGTGTCACAGATTGACTGCAGAACAAAATCTATATCTATTCTAGAAACGGACTGTAAATAAACCACAAAACTCTTAAGTTAGTGATTTCCCATTTGTTGTCACAATTTCAGCGTAACTACATTCCAAGAATGTGTGTGTGTGTGTACCTTCTTGAAATCTTCAAGAAGTTTCAAGCATTCTTTGTTAAGAGGATCCACATTAACATAAATTCCTCCACAGCTACTCTTCATCGACTACAAATTTAAGAGTTTTGAAATGGTTCGCTATAATTACTTCATCGTGGTGACAAAGGAATCCTAGATTCTGTAATTGTACCTCATAGAGTTCATCAGAGATGAGTGCCATTCCGTGAGCAAATGGAACGTGAGTGTTATTATCAAGATCGAAATCTGTTACCGGGTTTCCGAGCACATAGCCCTGTTGTTTGAGGGGCAAACAAAACTCTTCAGTTCTTAATTCTTGGTAAGGTATATAAGGAGCAAGAAAATAGTGATGAACCTGAAGATTTATTTGAGGTTTGCAGCATATACAATTCCCTGTGATATATTAATGAAATAACTAATCGAGAAGCAATAGACAAAAGAAAAAGGGCTTGTATAGGGATTGAAATGATAAATGAAAAACTTACCAGTTGAGATTTCTTGAACGATGGCCGGAATCACCTTACCGGAATAAGAGTTTCCGGTGACATAGAAAGGGTTGGAGAAATACTCAGGATGCTTGGCTAGCCACTGCATAACAAATCACCAACAAACAATTAACAAAATCTCCAATAGTCTATGCTTTTAAACGGACAATTTGAGTTTTCCCTCTACCTTACGAACAAACTCATCGACCCGCTTTACTGATCCTTTGTCACTTGGTCTATCAGCAAATGGATTTGTTGAGTAGGAGAAGCCAGCTCCAACAGGCTTATCCAAACAGATTATATTCGCCACCTGAAAAGAAGCAACGCATCAAAAACTTGACTATCATGAATATGAATACAATTTATGTTACCTTGGTCCATGAATATGTAGTAGAGACCAAAGAGGGAATACTTCCATGGTAGGCCTCAACCTTGAAAGCAAGAGGCCCTGACATGGAATATTCTAAAAAGACAAATAAGAATTACGAGATAATTAAGATTTACCATTTTCATAAACAAGACCAGAGAAAGAAGAGCAACCAGGTCCTCCAGTTAACCAAACAAGAAGTGGGTCTTGTTTTGGATTGCCCTCAGATTTAATGAAGTAGTAGAACAGTTGATCTTCCTCTGCATCACCCACACCAATGTACCTGAATGACTAAACTCCAAAAACTAAGAAGACAGAGTCATACTACATCATAAAGCTACTATGAACAAGAAGATGAAGCAGAACAGAACCCGGATTCGAGCTCAAAAGGAAGAGGGCCTTCAAAACCAGGAAGATATTTGATGATAGAACCTGAATCACCATGCTGAATCAACACAATCAGAAGTTGAAGTAGAAGCAACTTGAATGCACAAGAGCCCATTGTTTACATTTTTGAGTTCTTGAGTGTTATGACAGAACATGTACTACTCAAAAACAGAGGCGTTGACCAAAAAAATAACGGAAGTTTTTCGGTTTAACCATATAAATCGGTAGATTGCCATATCTAATCCCGATAAATTCGGGTAAGTCTCGAGCCGAGTAGGTAGGGAGAGGGTTAAGGGTTTTTTTTTGTCCTTGGATTTCTGGTCTTTCTTTATATTAATTCTCTTTGGATTTTTGCTTTCTCCTTCACTTCCATTTAAATGGATTAAAGAATGGACATGACAGGGACAAAGTCGTGTGTAAACTGTAAAATGCTTTGCGAGGACCGACCTACCTTTTCGAACCGGTCCGGCTTGATGAATCAACGCAAGTGGAGGAAGCAGCAGCAACTTTGAGCTCCATTCTTTTCTGAGTTTTTGAGTTTATGCTGCACTGCATTTAGACCATCTTTATGCTAAGAAAATAGAAGCTTTGGCCGGTTAGTCTCTTAACCGATAACCGATTATATGGCTCGGGTTTAATCATAAACTTCTCTACATAAGATCATCTTTTGAAAATATCAACTTTTATTGGAAAGGTTGACACTTGTGTATGAGTTTTGAAGAAAGGTTGCATTTTTTTTAATACGATCTGCCAATCTGGAGAAACCCACTACTTACGTAAGCATAACCTTTTGTTGTTGTTATTGTTAAAATATGCTGTTTTAACATTAATCATATTACTCCAAGATTAAGGTTCCTTAGATAATTTAAAGAGGTTGGCCACTAATCCATCTCTTGAACATGATTGAGCTTTCCTCTGGTTTATACTCTAACGTGTGTCCACCTCCCTACAAACCAATTAAGAAATCTCATGTTGCAATCTATGCCAATCCAAAATTGTGGTTAAAGAAGAGTTACTTTCACAGTGGCAAATGTCATCTTATTAGCATAAGTCTTGGTGTACCTGCATATAGAAATGTTGGTTTCGCCGAATGAGCTTATTATACAAATGAGTAAAAGAAAACCAACAAGAAAAGGAAAATAAATTAAAATGCTATACCCAGCGACTTGATTGAGTACCATCCATGGCCTCCATTTCTCAACAATGGAATAGTTAAGAGACCCTTACCCAGTCTTGAGTTGCAACAAAAGGGACTAACATGTCGTGATCACCGCTTTTTCACAAGAAACATCATATTAAAAAAAAAAAAAAAAGGTTTATAAAACAGTTGAGATCAAACGCTCGTCATTGGCCCAATATTCAGATAGCAAATGCCGATACATCTGCAAAAGCAACATTGTCAATTAGTATTTATCCTGTGGCTTGCCATTGATTAAAGATTAAAAAAAAACAGAGGCAATATGTATTTGCTTACATAGCAATCAGGAGATGTAAAAACCACAACTTCCAAGTTAGTGATCTTCTCAAGTTACCATTGTCTCTGACTGTCTGATAACTCCATAGTGTAAGTACCTTCTCATAGTCTTGAACGAGTTTCAAGCATTCTGAGTCAAGAGGATCAACTTTAAGATAATTGCCTCTGCAGCTACTTCTCAGTGACTGCAAAGAAGAATTTTGAAACTGGTGGTGACAAGAAACAAAAAAAAAGCATCTTATATATTTGTAAATTGTACCTCATAGAGTTCATCAGAGATCAAAGCCATTCCATGAGCAAACGGAATGCGAAAGTTAGTATCAAGATCAGGGTCTGTTACCGGGTTTCCGAGTACATATCCCTATTATAAGTGTATAGAGGGAGAAACAAAACTCTCAAATTTTAATGCTCAACAAGGTATCCATATATAATATAAGAAGCAAGCAAATAGTAATGAACCTGAAGGTTTATTTGAGGTTTGCAGCATATACAATTCCCTGTGATAATTTGATGATTTGATCAAGATCAAAACGAGAGCCAAAGACAAGGGCTTGCATGAGGATTGAAGTGATAAAACTAACCATTTGAGATTTCTTGAACGATGGCCGGAATCACCTTACCGGAATAAGAGTTTCCGGCGAGATAGAAAGGATTGGAGGAAAACTCAGGATGCTTGGCTAGCCACTACACAAGAACCAAAAGAAGATAAATACTTTAAATGTGTATGCATCAAAAGACTTTTGATGTTTTAAGCGACAATTTTGTGTTTGGATTTTTTACATTATGAACAAACTCAGTGACCAGCTTAGCTTCTCCTGTATCACTTGGTATATCAGCAAGTGGATTTCTAGAGTAAGAGAAGCCTGTTCCAACAGGCTGATCCAAATAGATTATATTCGCCACCTGAAAAGAAGCAATGATTCTCTAAGACTTGAAGACGAAAAAAGATCACTGAGTTTGTAATCATGAATACAACTTATTGTAACCTTAGTCCATGAATATGTAGTAGAGACCAAAGAGGGGATACTTCCATTGTAGGACTCAACCTTGAAAGTAAGTAGTCCTGAGTATATTTTGATTCAAACAAGTCATTGAAAACTATGCAGAGAAAAAAAAAAGAAGAATGAGTAAAAAAGTAGGAAGCTTTTAGATTCACCATTTTCATAAACAAGTCCAGAGAAAGAAGCGCAGCCAGGTCCTCCAGTTAACCAGACAAGAAGTGGGTCTTGTTCTGGATTCCTCTCAGATTTGATGAAGTAGTAGAACATTTGATCTTCCTCTGCCTCACCAACACCAATGTACCTGAATGATTAAAACTCCAGAAAACTAAGAAACAAAGTCATTATAAGTTATAAGGATACTATGGAGGATTAGATGAAGAGGAACAAACCCGGTTTCGAGCTCAAAAGGAAGAGGGCCTTCGTAACCAGGAAGATATTTGATGACAAAACCTGAATCAGCATTCTGAATCAACACAATCAGAAGTTGCAACAGCATCAACTTGAGTATCCACGAACTCATTTCTTTTTTGAGTTTTTTGACTTTTCTTTCTGTACTCGAAAACAGAGTCGTTGACCTCCAAAAAAAAAAATGGAAGCTTTTCAATTGGGTATCGGTTCAACCATATAAACCGGTCGAATCGAATCTGCACGTGAGGAAGCTCGTCGTGAAAAGGACAAAGTCACGTGTTTAGTGCTTCGCATTGCCTAATAACCGGACCAACTCCACCATTTGAACCGGTTCAATAACTATATGGGGTGGTTTTGTGAATTTTAAGAATATAGAGAGTTTGTTTGCAAAGTAAGGGGTTTAGTTTGCAAATTTTTGTTAAATTTATCGATGTTCTTTTGGGGATGGTGGGATTTGTAGACAAAACGACGTCTCGTAGATTGAAATTACGGATCGTGTCTCTCTGCTTCTTCTTTCAATCCGATTTCGGACAACCTTTACTCAGACACAAGATTTTTCATTTTTTTCTTTCTCTCAGGTCAGCTTCTTCCTCAGCTCAAGCTCTTTAGCTTATGGGGTTTTTTTTTTCTTTCTCTTTTTGAAGTTTCCTCGTTCTTTGTTTTGCTTTAGCCATTGGAAAGCTACCTTTTTTTAACTTTGTGTGTTTACCTTGGAAATTAAGACCTAGTTGACTTTCAGAAGCTTAAAAAGTTTCAAGCTTTTTTGTTCATTTGATGACGTTTTCAGCTACCAAAATCCATCTTGGATTTCAAATGTTAAAATATGGTTTGAATTTCCTGTGTCTGTTGAATTCTGTTCAGAGAATAGATTTTGAATCCTCTCTTGGTGAGTTATTGGTTTGAGTAATGAGCTGCTGCTCTATGCTTAGTTCTCGCTTCTTGTTAGATTTTAATTCATCAGTTTGGTTTCAGTCAATGTTAGTACTTGAACCTTCGTCTTCTTTCTTGAATCCAATTCCTAACTAAGAGACTTAAGTAGTTAAGCTACTGCACCCGTGAATCAATAACTTGATTTCTTGTGAGTAATGTTTCACTAATGTTAACTGCGATCTGTTGGCTAAGAGTAATGTCTGAACGTAGTTATTCAATCTTTGAGGGGTTTTGGACTTTGCGGAACTACTTGCTTGGTTGGATAGAAGTAGATATGGTTTGCTTTCTTCTCGGTGCCTTAATGAATTGCTTAGGTCTTGGCTTGGAACTTAGATTTATGCAGGCTAATGTTTGATTGCGTTGTTATCTCTGGCAGTGTATTAAGCTTGCTACCAAACACTATTATTGTTCTTCCTAGTGATCGTTCACACACCATTAGCTTTGGTATGCGCTCTTGATTTTCTCTTCGTCGTTGGTATCTAGGTGGTTATGGGGTAGGATTCTTGTCTATGCCAAGCTTAGATCTTATGTTATAAAAATGCCCGTTAGCTCCTTCTCTCGTTATCATCAAGGTTCCTTTGGTCTAATCCACTATCTTGCTTTAAGATTCCTTTATGTCTCTCAGTTGTCTTTACTTAGGGTGAACTGTCTCTTACATTTTCCCATAATTTGATTACATTGAGAGTCATTGAATTTCGCTTGGAGGGTACTTCTATGTGTTCAATAGTAAGGACTGTTTTGCATTCTTTTTAATTTTGGATGAAACAGAACCAACAATCATCCTGCATAAGCTGTCTGGGTTATATAAAAACTATGGTATCAAAAGAGATAGTACTTAAAACTTTTTGTGTTTTTCATTTAGCTCAGTCAACGGTTCACTTGTCTGGTTGTTCCTTATTCATTCATATTGGTTGTTTAGGCAAGATGCTTTAGCCTCTATCTTCTGTGATCATGTTTTCTCTCTCTGCTATCTGTTAAATTTCTTCGTTTGCATCTTTTTTGCTTTCCTCTTTGCAGTCTCCCTCTAGTGTAAAACTCTGCACCAGAGGTAAATCACAGAAATTGCCACTGCAAAAGGAAGCACAAGTGGATAGTCTCTGCATCAAGTATTGGTACAGAAAGTAACATGGCTGATACAAGTTCAAGGACTGATGTCTCAACTGATGGCGACACAGATCCTAGAGATCTGGGGGTTAGCTCGTAATCTGTCTCTAATCATTTTATTTTCTCTACAATGTCACTCGTGGGAGGCTTGAACCGGGTTCCGTTGGTAAAACTTGGGGACATTCTACCGGTAGAGCCAAATCCACAGGACTAATTCCTGATGTCAATTACATGCAGTCCGAGAGAGGGCAAGTGATGCGTGCTGCTGGTTCTGATTCCAGTGATCGATCAAAGGATAAGCTGGATCAAAAGGTGATACTCATCTCTGTGGATCAACAAGCATTGTTTATATTGCGCATATGCATAATGTTTTTTTTTTGTTTCCTTTTATTTTGATCCATAGACTCTTCGTAGGCTTGCTCAAAATCGTGAGGCAGCTAGGAAAAGCAGACTGAGGAAGAAGGTATATCTTGCTTATGTTTTTGTTTTGACTTCTCCTATATATTTGGAACATCTCTACATGAATATCCATTTGCCATAACCTTAAACCTGTTATTTTATCCTCAATAGGCGTATGTTCAGCAGCTGGAGAACAGCCGATTGAAGCTGACTCAACTTGAGCAGGAACTGCAAAGAGCAAGGCAGCAGGTTCAACTTTTTTTTCTTATTTCGTTTGATTCTGATAAGTAAGTCTCAATAAAGAAGATAGAAGAGACTTCAGAAATGTCTAATGCCACTTTAACCTATAAGTATAACTAACAGTCAGTTAACAAGTTAGGTGAGTCTTGAATTAGCTGAAGTAGAGGAGAAAAACAGACTTATGAGGTCATCAATAGTTTTGTTGGGTAAAGGTGGATGGTAATTCTCTCGAATTAATCCCTACATCTTTCTGGTTTGTTCATCGGATGTTGAAGGAATAAAGAGAATTCTGTTCTGGTTCTTATTAGATTCTTTGTCCTGACTGTATTTGTAACTTCTGCATACATAACTGATGTTTTTTTTTCTCAAATTTAGGGCGTTTTCATCTCAAGCTCAGGAGACCAAGCCCATTCTACTGGTGGAAATGGTGGGTTGTTTCTTCTACATTAGTTGTCAGATTGATCTTGTTGGCTTGATGAATAGTAAAAGTCATCTCATGGCAATATGCAAAGGTTTATTAGAGTTAATGGTTTCAAGAGTCTATGAAGATCTGGATGGGAACTCAAAGTTATGGTGATACCTATACTACCGTTTCATAATATATTTAGTGATGGTATAGGCTTAGGTTATCTAGGTGGAAGTATCATGGTTTTGTTCTTAATCTTGTATACTTGTCTTTTTGCAGGGGCTTTGGCATTTGATGCCGAACATTCACGATGGCTTGAAGAAAAGAACAAGCAAATGAACGAACTTAGATCTGCTCTGAACGCTCACGCGGGTGATGCTGAGCTCCGGATAATTGTTGATGGAGTGATGGCTCACTATGAGGAGCTTTTCAGGATCAAGGGAAATGCAGCTAAGAATGATGTTTTCCACTTACTGTCTGGAATGTGGAAAACACCAGCTGAGAGATGTTTCCTGTGGCTTGGTGGATTCCGTTCTTCTGAACTTCTCAAGGTGAGCTTTATTCACTTACAAGTCTATGTTAGAGAATAGTGAGCAGTTTTTATTCACAGCCCAACTCTAACCGGTCGCAATATTTTTCACAACAGCTTCTTGCGAATCAGCTTGAGCCCATGACAGAACGACAGGTGATGGGTATAGATAGCTTGCAGCAGACGTCCCAGCAGGCTGAAGATGCGTTATCTCAAGGGATGGAGAATTTACAGCAATCCCTAACTGAAACTTTATCTAGTGGAACTCTTGGTTCCAGTTCATCTGATAATGTCGCGAGCTACATGGGTCAGATGGCCATGGCAATGGGGCAGTTAGGCACCCTCGAAAATTTCATCCGCCAGGTACATTGAAATCCGGATGCTATCGTGAGATATATAAACCTTAACAAGCTTTGAATCGTGCCAAAGAGGTAAATCTTATATATAGGCATCTGTCTGTTATTGAATTCAGAGGGAATTTCTTGGTGGCAGGCTGATAACTTGAGGCTGCAAACACTGCAACAGATGATGAGAGTATTAACAATTCGTCAGTCAGCTCGTGCTCTTCTTGCCATACACGATTATTCCTCTCGACTACGTGCTCTTAGTTCATTATGGCTTGCCCGGCCAAGAGAGTGAAACGCAAGAATAGATCTCTTCTCAGCTATACAAAATCTTATGGATACTCCCTCCAAGAGATCACAAAGCAAAGTCCTCAAGATTCTTACCAAAAGCAATATTTTGGGACAGATGAGACTGCAGATTTTGAGAATTATTTTCTGGGATCGCCAAAGACTCGAGTGGTGTGTGTGTTGTAATCTTTAGCCATCAGGTTGTGTAGTTTGTACTAGAGAGTGAATGTTTATAGGTCTTTGAATATTTGTAAGCCAATAGGTCATCAGTGTAAGGTTGTAGAACCAACATGACAGAAGATGGGATTCTTTGAGGAACTTCGATTGTATGATCATAACTCAAACAGACCAATTCAATTTACATTTGAGAGTGAAAATAAGGAGCAGGTTGCATGTTTTGTACTCATAGCAAAATTTGCACAAGAAACAGTCAGATAAATTTTAGGGAGGTTTGGCCGGTAATATGTATAACCAGCCTGAGTCTCAGAGAAAATACTGATACAAATGAAAATCTGTTATTATTTTCGGGAAGAAGATTTCTTCCTAATGTCGGAAATACAATACCGGAAAGACTCACGCAAAACTTAAGCATGACAACCAGTACAGCTTATGTGAATTTCGAAAGAGCGTCACCAGTTCAAAAGTAGTTGCTGGTGTAGAAATTCTTGAGGAAATCAGACTTCCCTTGATCCTTGCTTCCGGTATTCTGCACGAGCCCTTCACCCGTCACATATTGACCAATAATGTGATGACGCTGCTTTGCATGATCCACTATGTCACTCAGCTCTTCCATTCCCTTGAATAGCAGAAGATCAATTACCTGCAGAAGCAACACCAATCATCAGGAATATTATAACAGCACCTAAGAAGAGAGCCAATTGAGAACAAAATAACATCACCGGAGATCACTGCATCCAAACTCAAGAAGATACCTTCAATTGATGATTCAAAATTCAAACAAATCAAATGCAAAGAAGAAATTTTCCAATGTCAGATACTATAGGAACCACAAGGTAATACACAGCTTTAGCAGGAAGTAACCGGTAAAGCTCAAACCTTTTAGCTCCAAGAAAATTTCCAATCCACAAGACACTTAATTGTTCATAAGATTAGACTACCCAGAATTAAGTCTCTCCAATCACATAGACTAATTGCACAAATTCCAAAAGCTTTCAACTTTCAAACATAGACGACAATAAAACCAAGTCAAAACTGCAATAGAAACAATCCGATTATCAAACAAAAGATCATATATTCATTCGTCAATATTATCAATACGCATCACCAATTTGGAGAGGGTTACGAATTTCGCCGTCTCAGAGTAAAATCTAAAAAAGAATGGTCTGGGCTTAATCGGAGTGATGTATTAGGGGAAGAGTACCTTAGGGTCGGTGATGTGAGCGTTATTCCGAATCTGAGCAGAGATTGCAAACCGGAGCTGAGAAGGTGCGACTACATCTTGAAGATTGTAGATATCCATGATGGTAGGGATAGATCTACAAGCAGCTCTAAAGAAATCGAAAACACGGCGACGAGCTTCCGTCAGATTCGCCGAGTTCGGAGGAACACCGACTTTCCTCAACGTGAATGGTGCCGCCATTTGATTGATCTACACAACGCTGATTAATCGCGAATCGAGAAAATTTTCTCTCCCTGAGAGATAATAAGAGCTTAAAGTGAAAATGAGAGAAACACTTCGGCGATTTGAGAAAGAAGAAGAAACCATCTGAATATCTGAAATGCTTCCACAACGACGTCGTGTCACACTGAGTTTCAGGTTAGATTCGGTTTAAATCTGGTTTTTGATTGAACCAAACAATTGGGTTTTTGAAGAAGGGTAAAAAAGTCATTTTCCATTCCATTCGGCCGGGTTGTGTGGCTCCGCTTCTTAAACCTCTCTTGAGAACTTGGCGCCGTACTGATTTCTCTTCTTATGGCGGCGATGGTGAAAGACGGGATTCTCAACTGTAGTGATGATGAAGAAGAGAATTTCTCCGACGACGGAGATTGGGGAGACTGGAAAGCAGATGATAATGGTGTAGGAGTTGGAGAGGAGGAGGAAGACGACGGCTTCGAATCTGATTTTGTGTGTTTGTTTTGTGATTCTCACTACGTTTCCTGTGATTTACTCTTCGAACACTGTCGTATGAGTCACGGGTTTGATTTTCATGGGATTAGAAATGAATTGAAGCTGGATTTCTACGCTTCCTTTAAGCTCATCAACTATATTCGGTCACAGGTTGGTGAAATTTCCGTGTTTTTGTTGCTTCCTTTTTGCGAAGTTTTAGCGTAGTTGATAAATTTGGTTCCTTTGATAAACCAGGTGGCTGAGAACAAAAGTTGGAGTTGGGGGATTGTACTCGAAACTGTTGATTCCAAAGATGTTAAGTTTCCTTGGGATGAAGAGAAGTATTTGAAGCCCTTTTGGCAGGAGGATTCACTTTTGTACAGTTTTGCAGATGATGAGGATGAGGAAGACGAGCTATTAGACAGAGAGGAATTGATGGAGGATTTGAAGAAACTTGGGGATATAAGCATTGATGATGAGGCTGTAGGAGAAAGCTCAGTGTCAAACAATGATAAATGCAGTTTAAATGGAAGCAAGGATGTTACTCAGCTCTCAAACTGCAATGGCCTGAAGCAAAGTTGTGCGGATGATTTGACAGTCAATGGGAAAGATGCAGGAACAGATGTTAGTGTACCAAGAGTTTGTGATGGGAGGCTAGTTGGTAGGAACATCAGAAAGGCTAATGAAAACTACTTTGGATCTTATAGTTCATTCGGCATTCACAAGGAGATGCTAAGTGATAAGGTAATGCACTGAATTTTTCTGCAAGCATGTCAACATTAACTAACTTGCAAATATGTGGACAGTGTGTCGACTGTCAGATGTATTCATTTTAGTTTTAACTTCTTTACAGGTTAGAACAGAAGCGTACCGTGATGCAATTTTGAAGAATCCTACTCTCTTGTGTGGCTCTGTTGTAATGGATGTTGGTTGTGGAACTGGGATATTGAGGTGAGTTAGGAGATATCTTCTCACTTTATATAGTGGCTATCTCATTCTCTTCAGGAATCTTCTCAGTTGTTCCTGGTTATAGCATCCAGATTTCAAGACTAAACATGTGATTTGAGTTTAAACTTGCGTCTTGTTATATAGTCTTCTTATCTGGTGGCTCTACTAGCCTATTTTGTTTCTCATTCTGAAGGCTTCCTTGAATATTCCCTGTCTATATGCAGATTGTTTGATTGTTTATTTGGCACTTCTTATTTGGAGTATGCAACAACATAATTGCAAAGGAATAATATACATTTTTTTACCATTACTTCCTTTGCCTGCAGTCTCTTTGCTGCCAAGGCTGGGGCTTCAAGAGTAATTGCAGTTGAAGCGAGCGAGAAGATGGCAAAAGTTGCAACGAAGGTTAGCCTTCTCTACTTTCTAAAAGGTTTTTTTCATTAGCTGTCAGCACTCTTTATTTAATTTCTCCCGGTTGAACAATTGTTTGCTAGCAGATTGCCAAGGATAACAGCGTATTTCATGATAACGAGCATAATGGGGTACTTGAAGTTGCACACTCAATGGTTGAAGAGCTAGAAAAATCCATAAAGATTCAACCTCATAGTGTTGATGTGTTAGTCAGCGAATGGATGGGATATTGCCTTCTATATGAGTCAATGCTCACCTCTGTGCTCTATGCAAGAGATCGATGGTTGAAACCGGGAGGTGCAATCCTCCCCGACACAGCCACAATGGTAAACTTATCTTGTTGCCTTCCAAATGTTGCTTTTCTTATGAAATTATTTTAACGAGTTTTATCCCTTTTTTGTCTCCTTGGATCAGTTTGCTGCTGGTTTTGGAAAAGGCGCCACAAGTCTTCCTTTCTGGGAAGATGTCTACGGCTTTGACATGTCTTCAATTGGCAAGGAAATTCTTGAAGATACTGCTCGAATTTCCGTTGTTGACGTTATAGAGGAGCGTGATTTAGTGACGCAGCCTGCCCTTCTCCAGGTTTGGAATTCTCAAGCTATATTTGTTTTCCTCCAGAAAAAAAAAACTATCAGAAATTAATTTCCTTGAATTTCTGTGCCTTTGTTTGTAGACATTTGACCTGGCTACCATGAAACCGGATGAAGTAGATTTCACAGCAACCGCAATGCTGGAGCCCAATGAGTCAGAAGCCAAAACTAGTTTGTGCCACGGTGTTGTGCTGTGGTTTGATACAGGTTTCACCGATAGGTTCTGCAAGGAAAACCCAACCGTACTATCCACATCACCTTACACTCCCCCAACACATTGGGCGCAGACGGTCTTGACTTTTAAAGAACCCATCTCTGTGGCACCGGCCACACTTCTGTCTGGTGATGACAGAACAGGAGCCATTGGAACCGAGGAATGTCCCGCCTCAAGCATTCATCTGCGTGTGAGTGTTGCACGAGCGCCTGAGCATCGCAGCATCGACGTCTCGTTAGAGGCTACGGGAGTGAGCTCAAAGGGTCTGAAGCGTCGTTGGCCGGTTCAGATATTTAACCTATGAATGTGATTGTACCCAAATGTAACTCTTTTCCTCCATTTCTGTTCTACAACAATGTTGAGGATTATCTTCCCATTTTGATCAGGATCTCTTCATAATTTGCAACATTATCCAAACTTAACCCTTCTTAAATTTAGTTATAGGTCTAAAGTTAGAGTTTAGGTAAGACTAGTCGCTAGATCAGTTAATTCATATTGTTGACTTGCAGTTAATTCACATTTTTTTTAAAAGTCGAAAAAAAAAGAACAGTGAGTAAAACCAACATGAAATTGGGATATACAAACCAGAGAAAAAAAGAACACATTTATTAACGCTTATTAGGACTGACTTAACTTGGATAAATAAGAAAAAGGGATCCAAAACAGTAAAGGGATCCAAAACAGTAAAGGGATCCATCCGCTCATAACCTGAGGTGATCACTAGAAAGCTAAGCATAAAAACAGACTCTCTATGTAAGAGATTTACAGATGATAGAATAGTTAAAGGGAAGTTGACGTAGCAAATAGATAGAAGTATAATCTATGAATCTGGTGGCTCCGTTTTAAGTGGTGCAGCACCTGAAGACGATGCATCGCTTCCATTTTGGTTTTGGTTTTGGTTTTGGAGGTAAAGGCTGTTTGCTACCATGGAATCGCTGACCAGTCCTGCTTCTACGTCAAAGTTAAGAGTCCTCTTGCGGTTGCTGCAGCTGCTGGGACACCAGTTGACATGGGTTGGTTTATTAAAATCTTATGTGTTTATGGAAGAAGCTGATGAGGGATGGGTTTTCGACTTACTTATTCAAGCGGTTGTTGATGGCAGATAGGTCCTTTGAAGGGCTTTGGTAAGCATGTGTGCTCTCTCCAACACAAGCATAGTAACTCTTCGAGCTGTGCGAAATAAGAGCATCCATCTGCAAACACACAGCACCATGTAATGTAACCAATACAATCTTGTCACCAACCTCCTCAAGACTTAGTCATATCATGGTATAGAGTTTCTTTACCTTTGATCCTCGAAGAGGAGAAACATACACATTGTGCACTGCAGATACTTTTTTAGGGGACATGTCTGGAACACTTGGAAACACCGACACCTTTGGCGATCCAGGACAGTGACCTGTAAATCCAAAACAAGACAATCAATTATCTTAGGGACTGCGTTCTTGGATAAAGCTTAGTCTTTTGTCTAACAAGAATCTAGCATTTCTTAACTACCTTCAGGCTTATTGTTGGCCTCCACAGCCTGGTCGTTTCTCACAGGAACAATCTCCACCAGCAACGGCTTTACGGCAGGAATAAATACTTCGTTGTAGAATGTGATGATGTCGACATGATCTGGCCCTATTCTCTGTAACACAAGTCATGGTCACTAGGTTTAGTCTTCTCCACAAAGTATACTAGTTCAGCGTAAAGTTAAGGGTGTATATATGTACCCCTTGACGACGTGCTTGTAACGAATCCACAAATACACTGCGGAAAACTAGTTGTTTACACTGTGGTTGCTTCCGATAGTTGAATATGATTTCCTTGAAAGTTAGGCTCATTTGGGATATCTACAGGGTAATTCATTAAAAAGTGTTAAGTAGAAGCGAAGTCATTATATACCACACAACAAAAAGTTAAGACCTTGAATCGCTCAAACTCACCTTGGCCACTCCGTAGAAACAACAGAGGATGATCTGGTCAATATGTCGATTGAATAAAAGAGAAGTCCGCTGAGCAAGTACACGTTGAAAGAGACAATATACACTCTCCCTTATTTGCTGCGAAAGTTGTAGCCTTTCCACCATTCCGTTGATTCTGACAGCAGCCAATTTATTAATCTGAGAAGAACCAAACATATTGTGAGTATTATATTGAAGACAGACCAGCCTAAAATAGTGAACCAATATCACATTATATGTGCTATATTTCAGTTGCAGCTAAAATATTCAATTAGTTTGTAAATTGTAATGAAGTTTAAGCACCAAAGATTGCATTGACTTACCTTTGTGAAGAAAATATTGATACCAGTTTCTGCACAAGTTTCTCCTCCGCCTCCTGGGTTGGGCCGTGTTGGGCTGTAGACATATATCAAAAAAGGTAAACTTAAAAAGTACAGGTATATAAAATTCAGGAAAGGCAGACCAACTTGGTAGACTTTAAATAAAAAAGGTAAACTAACTCGCCATTTCTAACCATAATAACCCAAAATGTACCTAGCAAATGCAGACTGCAAAGGAGGTGGCAGCATCTTGGATTTAGCATTGCCCAAGGCCAATAGACGATCCTTTACTGGTGATGCAAAAGTATTGCGTTCAACTAGAATGCTGCGGTAATCAGTACACAGTCTTTTGGGCGATCTTATATCCCCATTTTGACCTATATGGCAATAAATTAGAAGCTTTTGGTAAGAAATTCACACCATTAACAGCAGGTTGGCAAACAGCATTTTGCTTTAATTCACAAAAAAAAAAAATTACCTGGACAAGTTTCTTGCTTTTGGATAGATGACGCATTATCTAATCCTTCAGAGAAGTTAATAAGTGCTGCAATTGCATCCAGAGATGGCATTGGTTCAGCTAGTAATCCAAGCCGATTAATCTCCAATGCAAGCGATGGCCTGGCAACAATCAGTGAGTTGTACATTGAAGAGCCTTTTTCCCAAACCATACTCTCTAGAAGTCGTTCCTCCAGTGAGTTCAGATGTCGTCTCAATTCTCTAGGCAGANAATCCTCATGTCTGATGAAACTCTCTATTACCTTGCTGAGATCAAAGGCTGTGATCCCCGTCCTCTCCAGAACAGCCGGGAACAACATCGTTATGGTTTTGAGGGTAGCCAGAACCAATTCGGCTGAGCAAGCAAGCATGCATCTATGGAACCTCTCATTTGTCAATAAAGAGTTTAAATTAGTTGCATGTAAAATCTGAGCTTCTGCTTTACACATTGCCTCGAGAACTCTGTAGTACAACTTAAGAGCTTCGGATCTTCGCTGTTCTGCCCATATGTCATCCATCAGGTTAGCAGTTTGCAAACTTCCACCTGCACATCTTTCACCAAGGGAACTATTTGGAAAAATAGCTTCCAGTATTATATGTGCTCTTCTTATGACATCATTTGTTATATCCCTGTCACATGATTTAAGGAAATGTTCCAACCCAGGAGATGGCTTTGGCAGAAGCGGACATATAACACTCCTGAGCCACTTGGCAGTTGTCATTGCTGTGCTCACTGGTGTTGCTGTCAACTTGTTAGTACCACTAATACCATTTGTCTTAGCAGCAGGTGACTTATGAGGAGAGAGCGGACTTATGAATGTCCTTGCAGGTGAGCTCAAAGAATCAATTTTCCTCTTCACACCAGTAATGTTTACAGCTCCTGCAGATAAGCTTCCAGATCCAAGTAAGCTATCGTCTTCATTGATGAACACCCTCTCATCAAGTTCACCATTACTACCAACTACATCATTGTAATCTCTTTCTAGTGTGACCAAGCTATTTGAGATGGATGTCTCATCCAGTAAATCCTCAAAGTAGGTCAAGCCATCTGAAAATGAAACTCCATTTTTAGAGAACAATCAAGCAATGGTTCAATCAACTCACAAGACTTTGTGATAGGAAAATGTTCTGAGACCAACCTCTGTCAATATTATCTAACTTGTCGGTTTGGCACTCGGATGCTGAAGATGGCTTTTTCTTCAATATTGTTTCTATCAGATTATTTGCCTTATCCATTATTATCCTCAACTCATCTTGTGAAGCGTCATACATCTTGCAAAGTGACGCAACCAAGTCTACATCTTTGTCACCTTTCTTAACTGAAATTGATCACGGATATAAGAATAGACAATAAACATTCAGTGGTCTCATGGTTATTGGGCTACAAGAGAAAAAACACTTGCCGAAGCGTGAAGAGTCTTGGGTGCTGAAATTTCTAAACCGACAAGGGACGTGTATGATCAAAATAGCCTGATAACAAGAAGAAAAGTAAGCGCATACTTTTAAAAACGAGGCGTCTTTCAAGCATAAAAAGACTAAAATGAATGACAGACTAGAGAGTGCCCCAAAGGTAGTCACTAACCAATATAGAGACTAGGCCATTTGTGCATGTCACAAGGTCTTTAAATCGACTAAACGCATGGTTTCGGAGTGCCAAAAAGAGTAACCATCCAAAACGGTAACTATCCGGCAAATAGCTAGCCGAGTTTGCTGATGTCTTTTCTGCATTTGCATCGTATGTCAAGAAGAATTCCTGGTACCCCCGTTTGTAGTACCTGTTACCAAGGATAGGTACCCAAAGAAAATTCACAATCAATATTCACACAAAGACCAGAAATTTGAAGGAATACTTTAAGGCCATCTTCTGATTATTGCATAGACGGAAAGTTTGCTTCTCAGATTCAGGTACTAAAAATGGCGACTTATGTCAACCACCATCATGCCACAAGAAACAAAAAAGACAAAAGAGTGCAACACAGGAAGGGAACTAAACCTACTTGCTTAGAAGGCTAAGATGCACAAAGTTCGCCTGCAGCTCCTTTGCCTAAAGTAAAATTAGCAAAAAGGTAGCACATGTTAAGAGAAGGAGTAAAAACAGCACTGCTTGACTAAAATTGAACTATATACAGAGCTTAGACAGTACCTGAAGTCTGTTCTCCCAGTCTTCACCATAAAGCTCACGTAGTAGAGGACCAGCCTTGACCACATACTGAGGTAACTCCCTAAAGAAATCCACAATACTGAAACAGAAACAAGGAATATTATCACTACAAATGTATTGAAAGAACGATAAGAAGGAAAGGATTAATTGGGCATTACGTACTTAAGCTTTAGAGCCCTCAGTATCTGACATAGATTGAACCCATTGTCACCAGACACTGTCTGACCCTCCCCTTCTTTCCTCACACCAAGCCTCTTCACTGAAAAGAGAACAAACGCAAACCAGAACCTCTCTACTTCCTCCCGCTAAGAAGAAGAACAAAACAAGAATTAGTCAATGAATGATGCTGTTTAACTGATAAAGGAGAAGGAGGCAGAAAAATGTATTTCACCGTTCCGCTCCCAATGTTAGCCATGTTTGCTGACAAAATTCGTTTGGTTTCTGTAAACAACTTCAAAACTTCATCGCAAATGCTCCCTTCAAGAGATAGAACTTTCTGCAATAAGAAATCAACTCCAAAGATTAGATCTAGTCTTCCAATCATCAGGCAAACTCAGTGGTAGTTCTGTATGATAACATGCAATTAGATGACCAAAGACGGGGTTAGACCTTGCATATATCCGTAAGAGATGCTTCACTTCTTTTCCCATTGGGATCAATGGGTGGGGTCACTGGAGGCTGAACTTCTTCCATAGTATCCAACGCAGCTGCAAACATGAAAAATCAAGCTTATTTTAGTTCCAATGAAACAGGTTAACTGAAGAAAAAAGAGAGGGCTTTTCAAGCAAAATTATGTGTTAACTTAATTACACTTCTAACTTCAATAGGAATCATATCAAACCCATTCGGAAGAAGAAATCGAACAAAAAAAAAAACATCAGTGACACATGAGAAAACAAATTCGCAAAATTCCAGGTACGCTGCGATATTCCTGATTCCGCAAAGACGAAATTGGGGAGAAAAATAAAAAGAAGTAGCGAAAACCGGTAAAATCCAAAAGCCCAAAACTTTACACCAAAAATCCCCAAATTTTGTCTAAAAAATTCAATTTTTTTGTTCGGAGAATTCTCTCGAAGTTACAATCGAATAGCGAAAAATTCATAGAAATTTCAGATAAACCCACCCAGAAAATAAAATTCAAATCCAAGGAAAGTGAAAAAAGAGAAAGATCTTACATTTTTGTATCACAGATCCCAAAACCAAAGGTCGCCGATTAAAGCTGAGCAGAAGATCTAATTTTTCAGAACTCTCACTACTAACGCCTTCGACGAATCAAAGACGAAAAACCCAGGAGAGATCTCCGTAAATCCTACAAATT